GTTCATCATCACTAGTTTCTAGACCAATTTTCTTTTCAACGTCCGGTTCAATATCTTCATATCCATTAATATGACTATTATTCTTCTCAGATTTAGTCCTTTTAAAGATTTTACCTGATACTTTTTTGTTATGATCTATAGTATTTATGCCATTTTCTTTAGTGTCAATATTATTCTTTTCATTTTCACTAATCTGAGGAATTGTATTTCTAGTACTCATTCTTTTAGCCAGTTCACTAAATACATTATTTTGTTCGGCTTTTTCATCATTAATCGTTGGTACGTTATCCACATTTGATGGAATAGGACTTGTGTCTTCAACTGCGTTATCAATAATTTCATCAGAATGTTTATGAGTTGATTTGATAGGCTCTTCAACCGTTTGATTGCTAACGGTAGTAACAATTAGTATTAAATAAAATAAATGTACTAGGGGAATCTCAGATAAAATAAAAGTCTCCAATATCGTCCACATGTTTATAACTACAACTGATAATTGTTTTGAACATCTGTATAATAAATTAATTTAATAGTAGGTAGGAACATTATTATAGTTTAATGAAGTTTAGTTTACTTTATGAAATACAGGCTGTGTTAATATGATAAAACATACCTATATGCTTTTGAATTATTAGAACGTATTAATTATGGTTTAATTTACCAAATAAATGCATCTATTCTAAATAAAAAATATTATGGGAAATTCAATAATAAAATACATATTATGTTTACATGACATATATGTACATTGTACATAATTTAATGATAATTATTGTCAATAAAAATCATTTTATAATAAAATTGCAACTTATTCACTATGTTCAAAAATTTTATTTTAATAATAATGTTATAAAATCTCGTGTGGCTTGATGGGTGGCCTCAGTCACTAACGTTTTCTAAAGTAAAGCATTTTCCGTAGTCGCTAATTCCCGGATGTGAAACCGGGAACGAAAACAACTATGCATTTTAGTGAAAAATCTTCGTCTCATATAATATACGTGTTCCTTACCAATCGTATACCCCCTCTTCTACAGTATAAACCGTGCCAATTACTATGCAGTCAAAGCTTTTAACCTAAAAAAAAAATGTAATTAAATTATATTAAGTATCAATATATAACTATTAAATGTGTCTTGTAGACCTTAAAAATGCTTTGACCTATATTGCATAGAAGATTTTTGTTAAAAAAATAGTCCATCTCATACAATTTTTAATCTACTGATATGTAGTGTGTACTTACACATTATCATCATATTTACTTAAACTGATGAAATCTGCCCATAAAAAAGGGGCTCAGAACATACAAATATATTATACTACTTACATGAAATGTAATACATTAATTAATATAATTTTAAAATATAATAATAATTGGTTTTTATTATTTTAATTATAAAAAAATTATACATTATATTATATTATGTAATGATAGTCAATACAAATATTGTTTATGTAGGTATAAATAAAAATATATTTTGTACTATATATATATGATATTTTAGCATGTCTATATATGAACTCCAATAATGCAATTTATTCTGATTTCAATCCAAAAAAATTTAAAATTACTTATTMTCATATTCTATGCGTACAAATTGGGTCCATTTTAATATTTAGCAACCACTTTTCAATTGTTTATTAAATTCAAAACTTCACAGTAAAAACGACTGAAATGAATTAAATTTACTATTTTTACTAATTCATTATATAGTCTTATGGATTTGATATGTGGAAAAACATTTGATTATTGAAGTTATCAATAAAATACAATACCTACCTATTATTGCCGCTATCATATTTATTTTCGATAAAATAATTGTCGACTGTAGGCAAATCGGGAAAATTGAAATTGTATTAGAAAACTGGTATAATTTGTCGGCGCACTGAGATGTCGAAAAATTAGACTGTTAGCAAAATGGAAATGTTTTTAAAATATTTTTAAACTGGTAAATTTATAGGCGAAATGAATTGTAAGCGAATTGGCATTCGGCAAAGTGGGAATCTGCTGCAGCAACCCTAGAGCCCAAATGAAATGATTCATAAAGCTATTCCACCTTTATTTTGTATTTCAGCCATATCAAATATTTATACTTAGCCAAGTATGCTTTTTTCTAATCATCAATTAGTATTGACGTTTTTATTTAAAAAAAATTATAATTTATAATGATATGTGAGTAGGTATTATATTGTAATTTATAGTTATAATGGTATTGAAAACTGAGCCATTTAATATTGATAGGGTATTTATTAAAATCTGTAATATTGTATGTTATGTGCACCTACTGACCTACTCTGTACACACGAAAAGCAATAGAAAAAAAGCTTCGATTTGGTTTTTGATAGAAAATTGAATATAGTTGGTAGTTAAGTACTTTAAAGATGTCAAAATTAAAATTGACTAAAAATTGTTAAATGTATATATTACAAAAATGTTACTATCATTATAAAATCAAACTTATATGACATGACTACAATTAGTAATTTCACTAAAAAAAGTTAATCTTAAATTCCATATAATTAACTTACCACATGAACTGTAACTACTACCATTAAGTTATTGCTCAACCTTGATTAAACTGTATTTTTATTTTCCCTTCTCATCGCCAAATTAATATTATTTTTTAGTAAGATCACGTTTTTTGATATTTTTTTAAAAATAAATATTTCAACATTTTTCTTTAAATGATCACGCTTTAAGATGTCTATATTTAAACTGTCTTTAAAATTACCTTGATCAAGATACAATGTATTATATACGTTAGAGATCATAATTACGAAGAATTGTTGTGAAACCTAGATAAACATTTTTTAAGACAAATTCAATAGAAATCAATATTGCTACAATCATCATGATTTCTAAGTCATAAAATGTAAAACAATTGCTTATACATTTAATAATATAATAATAAATATAAACTTTTTAAATAATTGTCAGTTAATAATCTTGTTTTGATGTTAAAACAATAAAAAAATATATATTGCAATAAATAGGTAGGTAATATGTGTTAAAATTTTTAAAATTGTTTGAATTTATTATTTAAATGTTTTAAATATGATATGCATAGGTATGTGATTATATAAATTAATACGATTTATCTATATTTTATTGCAATCATCAAAACGAATGTTAAAGTACTACACTTTTTAGGTACTCGGCCGTGTTTTTATCCATCCCCACACATTAGTAGAATTCTTAAAATTTTTAACTGAATATGTGTAAAAAATTATGGTTTCGTATTTCCAATATTTTTATACTGCTATGATAGCAACTTATGATATTTTTAATCTTCTGAATGAGCCTTGAAATCTTTATCAACACTTAAAACTAAAAAAAGCGGGTTATTAGTTGTCTAAAGAATCACTGTAATGGATGTGTTTAATTTGAATTTAATGATATAAAATAATTATTACAGTTAAGATGGTAAATATTATAGGCATGTATAATTTTTTTCTCCCTTTTTAGGATATTGAAATATTATGCATTAAATAATTTTTGACAAGAATTATATCTGACGTGCATTTTTTTATAAACTGTGAACTTATGAATCAAAAAACCATGTTCTCTATGGTCTACCTTTCTGAAGAATAAATAAAATATATGTTTCTTGATTGGTAATTAATTTTTATTTTATGTGTTGTCTAATATTAATTGATGTTTGTTAAAATGTGGGTTAACTATGTTTAAATATATATATATATTTTATACGTTGGAGTATATTTATATGAAGTACTTATATAGTCACGTAGGTAACTGCTTAATACGAGTTGGTATTTCTTTATATAATGCCTTAGTTATAAATTATAATCAACATGTTACATTGTACTTTCTATAGTTTTTTTTCCGGGATTGGAAATTGTTGTTGGAAACTTGTAACTAGAAGGCATGCATTAAAATGATATATAAGTACCTAGTATTTAATTTTATTATTCTATTTTTATTTTTAATTTAAAAGTAAAATAGCTAGCATCATTATGTGATTAATAATTTTGTTTTTGAATAAATTTAATGACGTAGATACGATAAGTGATATTTAAGCATTATATACAGGAGGATCTATTTAAGTGGGTAAACTAACTATCTCGATAATTATAAACTTTTTTGATTTTTTTTTTAACTTTTAGGTTTATGTTTTTCTAAAACTGTATAATATTTTTATTTTTTTCATTTTTATATTTATTGGTGAAACCACTATCAACTTTTGATTTTCAAATGGTAATATATAATTAAAATATCATGAATTAATAAAACCATTTTTTTTCATTGATTGGTTTGTGAGATACTGCTCCCCAAAGTATCAGCAGTTTTTACTATTTTTCCAATAATTGTAAGGACCATAAGATAGTGATAAATTCGATATCGCTAAATCCAAGGTAACAAAATAAATCCAATTAGTCCAATTAGTCGATAAGTTTATAAATGATCAGGGTTCAAAGTAAAATAGTTATCTTTAATTAATTTTTATTTATTTTGTTACCTTGTATCTCATAAACTACTAATCAACGAAAAATTACAATGATAACATATAAATTCAAAAAAAAAAATAAAAATAATTTTATTAATTCATAATATTTTAATTATATGTTACCATTTGAAAATCAAAAGTTGATAGTGGTTTCACCAACAAATAAAAGGGTAAAAAAAATTCAAAAAAATTTAATAATTTTTGAGATAATTAGCATACTTACTTAAATGTATCACTCTTAGTCTACCAATATATATTGTATAATACACATTGAAAAGCATGAAATCTAATGTTGTTTCAGAGATGCGTTTGAATATTATGTTGTTTGATTTGACGTTGAAACCAAAGTGTGGTTTCATGATAATACTATAAATTGTAGTAAGAAATTAAAACATCGGATATCATTATCCTATGAAATTTAATTTTGATCACCCTCTGTTCACAAAATGTTTCTAAACATAATTTCATTTACTTTTCGGAACTCAAATTAAGTTGAAAATAAACAGATTACGTTTTTATTATTCTGAATAGGTACTTAGAATTTACAAAATATGTTATTAAAATAAAATTTGTATTTGTTTTTTATTAAAATATCATATTATGTTATTAAAATATGTTATAAAGATTTAGTTGTAAGAATTAAGAAAAAACAGATAAAATGTTTGATTTAGTTGTACACGTTTACTTAGACTACCTAGCTATTATCGAATAATGTGGACTTGTTATTTCTATACCTGAAGTCTAGTAAATTAAAGTTAGTTACTATATTATTATTCTGATATGCTGTAATAAACATAACTTTTTAAACGTTACGTTTATTTCAACAATTTTTTTTATGACATGTAAGCTTATACAATACACATACGTGGTAAAAGTCATAGTTTATATGATTATGCCGATGGTATATTTTACTGTAGGATAAAAATGCATGTGTTTTATTTGTTATTACATCTACACTATATACGAGTTTGTAAATATGATAATTTATTACTGACTATAATAATAATTATAAACGAAATAAAATCATGTAATTAATTAATGTCTACTTGTGTTATGCCATATACCTACTTACTGACATTTATTTTTAATGTGACTAAAAAACTATACCTATATAAAAGATCTCATTTGCCAGAACAATAATGTTATTGTTTCTTTTTTTTAATTATAGGCAAAAATGGCCATTGAAGTTTAGATTACAAGTATTATCATTACATAATTTAAATAATAAGCCATGAGGTTAATTATAATGTGTACAATGTGCATTTGTGATTTTTTGTGGTTTAGTGAGAGATTCGGTCAGGAATAAAGGATATTTATAATCTTGGCTTCCTGCCTTCCTAATCGCAACTCGCAGGTTGTACAATTGTCAGTTAATCTACGTTTGACTGTAAGTTTGATTAAAGCTGGTACCACAACTGACGCCGACGAGGAATTTTGTCATGATTATATTTTTGTGAATGATGACTATGAAGTATTTCAGACTAAATGATTGTAGATATTTTGTTTGACTTTAAATATTTTAATCATAAAATTACCTACCTAAATGTATCAGGAAAGATTATTTCCTAGGTAGGTTTATGTTTATCCATATCACAATGGTATATAGTAGCTAGACGACACACTTAATAATTATGTGGATAATATAATATTGGATTTTAAGCATATTAATACTGTAATGTAGTCTTAAAAATAAAACATTGTATATAGACTATAGTGTGTATATAATACTATATATATATATCATATATCATATTATATTATATGATTATGTTCATTTTACATGGTTTTATGGACAATTTTAAGCAGATTAAAACTTAGATCCAGTATTGACTATAAGTTGTAGGTAATGTATTTTGGCAAAAATTAGTTCGACCGGTATTATAACTTACATACTAAATAATTAATATAAAAGTAAATAATTAATAGTGGGTAGTATAATTAATACAGATAGAAGATACCTATTATGAAATATCTATATAAATAGAGGCTAAACAAATCGTATAATATTGAGAAACGTTGTTCATATAAATTTAATATAGGTACATAGGTATGCATACAATATAAAAGCTACTGAGAGTGAGATTCTTATTTTTTTTTTAGTTTTAGATGTTGTGTTATTAAAAGCTAAGATCATACCTACCTAGATTGAATTTAAAGCATAAGTTCAAAATGTTAATTGAAAAACGTAGGTATAGTAGGTATAACAGCGTATGAGAACAATACAGTGAAGAATTTCAATTAGTTAAAAGCTTAAAATAATTTGCCTAATTTTTATTTTTTTATTTATTTATTTAAGTCTCATTAACTAAGGTTATTGGCTAACATTAACATCAATACCGATACATTTATACATCATATAAGATTGTAAAGTTTAGTTATTTGTAGAAATGTTATAAAGTTGCTGTAGTTTTCAAGACTGGGTGCAAGTGCTTCATATAGATGATCTGGAATGTTTTTTGCCTAATTTGTTTTGTATTCGTTGTAATAATTTGTCTAGCCAAATTATGTACTTATTTACATAATTTTAGTTCAATATTCAATGTTCATTACATAATATGGTGTTTCCCACCTTGGAATATATTACACGAAAATGTTTTATTGTATTATTCATTATATTTAACATTATACTATTATGGGAAAATATTTAGGGTTTAACTTGCAAGGATATTTAGGTAATTAATTTATATTGTAGAATTATTATGTACCTATAACTAGACTTATCTTGGCTTTCGAATATATTACACTGATGATGTGAAAAAACAAAAATTGTCCTCGTTGAGTAAGTAAACTTTGTAGATAATGTATCTGATTAAGGGCAGCCATGACACCGGAGCAGGTCTAAGTCTAATGAGTAGAGTAATGGCACTAATCACCATTGTGAATAAGTTAGGTTTATAAACATGAAAATACAATTAATCTTGACTGCCTATTCTACTTAAACGAATAGGGTGCTCGTAATTACATTTATTATCGCAAGTCCAACTAGACCTGTAAAACGTGTAGGTAATTATAAATAGCTCACGCCCCATAATGGGTACTATCAAAAATCAAAATAACATGATCTTACAAATTCCAAATCTACAATAATCAATACTTAAAACTTTTTATACATATTTTCACAAACTTCATGTTAATGATAAAAACAAAATAGATATGCACAATATTTTTTTTTATTAATATCTTATTATTTTACCGACATAACTTATGAGCGGGTTACCAGTAATACGCAGTCAATAGCATACATCTATTTAGAGATTTTTTATGTGACCAAATGACTAAAACTTGTAAGCAATCCATTTCATCCATCAATTATAGGAAAATTTAATCATTTATAACGAATTAATATAATATGACCAAAATAGATTTAAGTTTTTCGTTAATTATTTCATATTTTAAAAACATGGTATTATAATAATAGCTGCTAGACTTAAAAAACAAGGGATGCTTATAATTTAGGACTGGGCGAGTTCTAAAGACCTCGTTTCACCCTCCCCCCCCAATTGTGCCGATGCACATTATTTATATTATTGGTCATTATACTATTGCTTATAGTGAAACATCTGTTAATAAAATGTTACCAATAAAATAGATATATGAACTACGGACTTATAGTTACAATTAATAGGTACGTTATTTGAGAAATAAAATAAAGCTTGAATTCCTAGCCATAATATAGAACTTCAAAAAAAAAAAAAACTATAAATTGACTGAGAATCGGCGATACCTAACCTCACACATGGACACCTCATGAAAAACCAACCACCTCCAAAATGCATCTCATGTGGAGGTACACATACTGTAAAACATCAGATGACAGAATGCGAATGCAGATCAAATGAAGAAGAAAGTGAAAAACATAATATACCAAGAACAACCTAGTCAAACTATAAGAAACATTCAGACTCGATTATCAGCCAGAAAACGTCACGATATTCTTCAGGAGCATCGAAATGGAGAATACTTAGTTTATACTTATACAATAATAACTAATAAGTATACAAAACGTAATACACCGATATGTTCCATGAAACTGATAATAATAAATATAAATTCATTGAACCAGGTTTCAGCACAATACACAAAACGTTTCTATTATTGTAGGTATCCGTTTTTAATTTCAAGTAAGAAGCTACCTACATCTCTTTGGCGGTGACAATATCGTTTTAATAAAGTTACAGTCTACACTTGAAGAATGACTGCAACATTTTTTTGCACCTATAAGTAGTCAAAAATATGAAAGATATTTTCTTGATTCTGCACATCCTGCGATCAATTTTGTATCATCAAAGTTAAGCTTTCCGAGTATCAGATTTGAGCGGATTGTATAAATGTATAATATTATAGTATTAATTTTCTTACGTCACCTTTGAAGTAGGTATAATATCAATTAACTATGGTCGGTAGGTATACGAACTAAGCAAACATTAACAACGTTGGTCCATAATCATGTTTGAGTTACTCACGTGCAAGAAATATATCAATTATAATRTAGTTTGTGTGCAYTGCAGGTACTATAACCAGCCAACAGTATACATGTTTTTTAGTAGGTATCCATAGCTGCTGTCAGCTTAGTGATCGTCTACCACACGACCGAGTGGGGTTATTAAACAATCGGTGCTCTGYGTTTTGTTTTCGTTCGATTAACCCAATCGCCCCGTCGTGAGAACTGGTGTAATTTCGTGTGCACTGCAGGCGGCTTTCACTTTCCTCAGCATTTTTTAGAGTTCGTGAGTAAAACGTAACTGGTTTTCAGTGCCGGGGATTATGCAATGTTGCAGTAGATAATAATATTATTATGCTGGTCTAGACAGTAGGCCGGGTCGGAGATCGTGTGGGGCTCTCTTAACCGATGCGGTTAGATAGGCTCCTAGGCCCTAAGTATCGCGAGACGTAGTGATCCGCTGAAACGCAAACCGGACGGAAGTTTATATACGTACGGCGTAAACATGGAGTTCGTATCTGCGTGCCTTGTGTTGATGGTCGCTGTTCTGCACGGAGGTAAGAAATCCCGACGTCCCGTACGCGATCGATTTACGTTTGTATTACGAGATATTATTTTTATTACTAAAAAACGACTGTTAAGGTTAAAAAAATACAGTTGTAAACTACGAAAAGTTCAAACGATTTTGAAAAGACAAAATATGCGTTAATATTTATTTAAAATCAGTAAATCATATAGCAGAAAAAAAGATAAAAAATGACTACAAAAGTCAATAAGTGATTTGGTTTTCGTATTAATTTTCATTGATGTGTGAATGTGTGATTATATCAGATAGCCTTGAAATCGTTTTATTTTTAATCAAAGATTGGCGAGTAACTTTATTTGGTTACATATTAAAAATAACTTTTTTGTGTGAGTACAAATCCAATTTGTTTCTGTAATTTGAATAATTTTGTTCAAATGTTCATTAATTCGTTTGGTAGGTATTTATTTTTTTAATACTTTTGTTTCATTTAAAGGTTATCTACAAAAGAAACAATTTGAATAATTTTGTTCGGTTCTTTACTACGATTTTATAACTTTAAAACTGAAGTTTGTTTTTTGTTACTTTTAACTATAAAAAGTTATAAGGTACCCATAGAAAAGTTTTTTGTTACTATTTTAACACATAAATGTTGAATATTCGATTTCTACAATATTTATTATTTATTGTATGCTAAAACATTGGCTGAAATTATAAAATAAATGGTTCAATGAGCTTATACATTTGGGACATTGTTACCCCAAATACAATAAAAATTGCCTTACATTTTTGAGTTAAGTTTAAGATTACAAAAAATGTTTAAATTACGTATGATATAAAATATTTGATTCATATTTTAATAGAAAGAATATATTCATTCTGACAAAGGGGTTTTCCAATACCTATTTACAACAATGTAGTATAAAAAAATTATGAAAAGTGGGTCTATAATACCGTGGTCAGCGGTATGTTAAGATATATAGAGTATCTATTATAATATAATCGTATAAAATATACATAACATTTTTTAAAATTAATGCTATTGAATTTTAATAATTTAGTTGTTATAGTAATGGTATCTATCTACAAAAAAAATTAATATGAAATAGGTAGGTACTTGTTAATTTTTTTGAACTGGCAAGTTATTCAAAATATTTAAATCTTTATGATTACTCTGTTGGAGGTTTTGAATTTGTAATTTTTGATTTMATTTATTTATAATAATAAACTAAACTTGAACTGTTCAGTTTATTTTAATTGTAAATTAATAGTTGTTTTTTTCTAAAATTGATTTTAATATTTTTACATTAAAAYAAAATTTCATATTTGAGTKTTTGTAATAATATTTGACAAGTATTTCATAATTTATGAGTTAATTTTTGAAATGACGAGGAAAATTATTGAAAATTTGTCATTTTGAAGAAGGAAGCATAAGTTCCATCTGTATCTAAATTTCAAACGGTTTATTTTGGGTTAAATAATTAAATAAATAAATATTCTAGGTACCTAATATCTACATATTTTTTTTCTAAATAAAATGGTCAAACTCGCCGAACTGCATTCGGGTACAAAAAAGGGTGTTAATAAAAATGTTCAAAAAATGAAGTAAATTTAACTGTTTGTAAACCACCAACTTCCCATCTCGCATTAAATTCAATCATCAGCATAACTACTAATTATTATTTTAGATTCTGAGTGGAGCGAGGAATGTATTGATTTTACCATGATATGTTTGTGTATTTTTATTTTATTATTATTATTTTTTGTGTCTGTTATCAAGTTTTGGGACAGTAAAAATGCTTCRATTTTCTACTTCAGTACTTTGTTAGATCAGTAAGTGAATCTAGTTGGTGCCATAGGTATATGAAATTTTYACCGAATGTTTATATAAGTATACCTATTCTATCCACCATACGATTTTCAAATAATKTCGACTTAAGTTGAACTATTTATAGGTATATGCAATTTTCAATCATTATTAGTTTTTTTTAAATTAATATCGATAAAAATGTATTTGTTTGGTAGAAAAGCTTGAAAATGTAATACAAGGCTCCTAACATATTGTTACAATAGAAGTTGAAAAATAAAAGAAATACATAGTCACAATTTTTTTTTATAAGCATTCAAAGTTCAAATTTTGACAAAATATGTAAAAATCACGAAAATTTGTAAATTATTTTAAGCTAGAAATTCATAAACATTTTCTTTTTAAATCTAAGTTTTGAGCATTTTTAATAATCTATAATATATCTTTGACAGATAAACCGTCTCCGCTCAGAATCGTTTTTCGTATAAAACGTTATAATACCAATAATACCATTGGATTCAAATTTAATTCCATCCATCGCATTATCCCACTTGTAACCTATACAGTACAGTAGAGCGACATCCACGATTTACCCGCTTTTTGTTTTTATATATACTATAATATACATTAATAAATAGCACACACTTATTACAAAATATAATGTATATTATATTAACGTTATGTAAAAACTAATTTTTAACCACGCTAATTATTAAAACCATATTATTTATTCCTAAGCCTTTAAGTGGTAACGGAAATGAGTTAAGTTTTTTGAACTCGAGTGCAGTTCGAACATTACCTACCAATTTTTTAGTCAAGCACATTTCCTCGACCATTTTCTTATTTTAACCCAAGTGCAATTCGACCTTACCCAATTTWTCAAGTATCGACTGKAAGCCAACACTAACTGTATTATTGCAATAACAGTCTATAATAATTATATGATTATTGATTAGATAAACAAGTAATTAGGTAGTATATCTATAGTAGTTATCTGGTGATGTTTGTGGTTTCGTTTTTATTGCTTATAATGTTTTGTGAATTTGTATAATATGTTATGTATTTTTCAACTTCGAAAGTTGTTCCTGACATAATATCTCCAATTCTACACCAACATCAGRCATAATTTGCTTGCATGAAGATTACGAAACACKCGTAAAAATTTATACGATAAATAAATTTAAAGCAAATTAACGCATTAATTATTCACAATATTAGGCGGGGACAGATTTGAGAAAACTTTTCATCGTGACGTTTATAATGAACTAAATAATTTATACGTTTCTAAAATGCTTACGTCAGAGGCCAAATATAGTACGTGTGTGTGTGAGTGTGTGTCGTGTACAGAGTATTATTATTATCCAAACCACATCACCGCAATTGTGTGTGAGTTATAATACGTATACATCGTTAAAAACAAATGGTCCGACCCGAGTACCCATAACACAAACTCGGTCGCCGATGAAATCGAATGACTTCGCACGGCGCACGCGCATGTCTTCTAATAAGGACGCTCCAACTTCTACTCGTCTGGTGCAAACATTAAAAAGCTCAAATTGACGACAAGGCAAGAGCAGCGACGTACGTATGATAATAACTACTGTAGCGACTCGAATAACGGGTCAAGTACTCAAGTGATACTTGAGGTGTACGGCGATTATCACCGCATAAATACCGGCAACGGTGTAAACAACGACTACCTATACGATGTGAGGTTGGATGGTGGAAATACTATGATACGAGTAGGTATAATATTAGTTTGTTTTGACTTTTGGGCGGTTTCTCTGGGGAAGGGGGGTGTGGTGGCATTCGGTGAACAACGATATACGTGTCACACGTGAATGAGGTAGAGAGGCTGCCGTGTATCTTCTATTATTTAGTATTTACCCTGTTGGACTATGTGAGCGAGATCGATAAAGTGAATATAAAAACGGTATTTAATCGATAACTAGGTCGGGTTAGGTTTAGGACGAGAGTTGCGCGACACTACACTATATTATATGTATACCTATGTGTTTATGCGTACCTATATTATAGTCAGTGTGTCATTGTCACGTGATTAGTTTCGCGTAAAAAAAAAAATGTTAAGTAAAAAATCTTTGAGACGGTACTGGATAGTATAAAATCTAAATGCGTGTATAAAAAAAAAAATGGTTCAAAAAAATCATTACGGTTAATTAAACTCGTCCGACTATTGCAAAACTGCGTTTGCCAACTGTGATCGAAATTCACATAATATAATTAAAACCGATTTCTACCGATCGTATCCAAATATATTATAATTTTATAAAATACTACAATAGCGCACGGTTAAGTATGATATTTTATCAGTAAAAAAATGTTCGAATAAATAATAACATCAATACGGGTGCATAGGACATACGAACATTTGTGTTGAAGACCTTATTGAAAGTCGAAAAATTAAATTTCTTTGGTGGAAATTGTCTATTTTCGATACCTTTAAAAAGGTCCATTTATCGAAGTTAGAACGGTTTCAACAATGCAAGATGTTCAATTTTTGGGAACAAATTGAATTATAGAAATTGGTACCTAGTCTATACATATTAATATTACTTTTATATTATATTATATTTTCATTATATTTTAAAGATAACACATTCTTAATATTTAGTTGACAAAAATGATTTAACCGGGAATATAAAAAAAAATTAAAACGCCAAAGCTCTTCGACATTTGTATAGCTATAGGTACCTCTGTTAACTTTCCCCCTTTTTTTTCCTGTTAAAAAACCAAGAACGAATAGAAATGTTCATAAAAATACTGCCACCCGTTCCTGTATCGTTTATTCATCAACATAATAATTTATACAAAATTGGAGGCCTCTAAATACCCAGAAAAGATGGCCTTCGGCTGACAGGGATACCTCTGTGTCTATAAATTATTATCTGTCTTCAATTTACATAATTTAAACATAATAACTTTACATTGTTGATATCCTGAAATAAATTTCAATTTGTGATATGATAAGTATCTAAAGGAATATTTCTTCCACTAAAAATGACAATGAAATGAAAGAACTGTTATAAGTAAATAATCATGAAATATTAAATCAAGATACCTTAGTTCTTTGCACTAACTAAATCTTATTCAGAATTTAATATTGTATATTAAATGAGTTTCTGTGGTTGTATAAAAGTGCGTATGAACTTAAAACTTAAAATTCGATTAAAATATGATTCGGGGTTCTGAATATACAAGGTTGGGAAAGTTAATGAAAATAATTAATTGTGACAAGTTAATTAAATTAAATTAAATTACTTTCTGTTAAAATAGTTAACAAAGAAAAGATTGAAGTATCTAAGGTTAAAATTGATATATGAATTTAGAGTTAAGATGGAAAATAAAATTTACTTAACTTAGTTAAAAAAAGGATTTTTCTCCAAATTATACTATTTATAAGTCATAAAATTCCCTAGTATTTTGATTCAAACAAGATACATTTACTAAGATATCAGATTATTTTATGATATATCATGATTCATGACAAAATAAATGACCATAATCAAAAAAGAGTCTTCATACATATGTAACAAAAAGAAAAGTTACCTAGCTGCACTATAATGATAACTAGCTATAAAAAGCTACAATAATACAAATTTTAACTAAAAATAAAGAAGTTAAAAACTAAAATATTTTACTCTTACTTTATCATAAGTTAACCTTTGTGAATATGAAGTTTATAATGATTATGTATATTTGATATTAATTATTGACACAGAAGATAATACTTTTATGATTATAGGCCATTATATCGAAAAAAATAAAACCGAAAAAAAATAGTGAAAACATATTATCACAATAAGTACAAGTATAAAAATATAATATATCTTACTAAAAATGTAACGCTAGTTAAATATCGGAAATTTATTTGTGTAAATTTCAAGATCAATAAAATATATATATATATATATATATATATATAATATAAAAAAATATTCACAAAATCATAGTTACATTTGTAGAGTTAAGTAAGTTGTAAGCAATACCTTTTAAATAATTAATATTGTCTTTAGTATTGTAAGATAAAGTTTAAAAAATACAGTTCAAATAGAATATAAATTAATAAGAACAACACTTTATCAACGATTGTCACGTTGCCGAACAAAACTATTTGATATCCATGTAGTATGTACACTATTCACGATGAAAGCGATAACGGATATTACCCTGAGTCACAATAATAATGACAGATTAATATAGATTATATATATTCTCTATTCTCTGTTTAATACTTACTATAAAAGCAAGAGTTTTCCCCTAAACATTCGATATAATTTAGTTTCATTTATTTTATTTTCGCTTTTTGGAAGGTTACCACTTTTTATGATATAGAAAATAAGAGCGTATTTTGATATACGTATATCTACAGTACATGATGAATAAATGTAGTTATAGTATATTATATAATGTTAATATTATAATAATGTAAAAATATTATTTAAAAGAATGAAACATATATTATTAGAAATAAAATACGAGTATAAGGAAGAATTTATATAATAAAACAAAAGAAGTCACTATGATATACTATAGAGGGTGTCGTGTGTACCTCGTTATTGAGTAGGTCACTGTGACGGATAAAATATGATTGTATACGAAAAATGATACCGAGCGGAGACAGTCTGTGATCTATATTTCTAAGGATATTTTAATATTTATATTGCTTTTAGGAACTAATTTTTGAAAAAACAGATCGCATATATTTCAAAACAAAATTTTTAATGTTATTTGAAATTTCATAAAAAATAATATTAAATATAGTAGTACCAATGTACCGTAGAACGGTTTAAAGAAGTCGGTCGTATCAATAGCAAAATTAATCTAAATATTTTAACGATATAATTATGTTATTTAGTAAATAATATTTTGCGTAATAGAACTAATAGAAATGAGTTTTAAGACCCAACATCGCTTACCAATATTACATTATTAATTATAATACTAACTTAKGATATAATACGATAAAATGATTATATATTTCTATCGTTTATAATCATTATAGCACTTAAAGGCCTATGTTGACGCGGGTTAACTAAATAATAATAATAATAATAAAAATTATTATGATTTTATTAAAATCAATTCACTAAAGGTAAAACTTATGAAGTAGTTACTATTATATTTTCTAGCTTATTAGTCCAGTAAAACTATTATTATCAACAGACAAATAAAAAATGCTATAATTATTAAAAAATAATATTTACAAATTGAAAATTTGAAATATATAGTATGATTAACTCTAAAAAGCTTCACCGATTTTTATTAACTGAGTAAGGGCCAGTTGTACCGTCTACGGTAAAACTTCGATTATGCTTAATCAGCTGATAACAGATATTTAACCGGACAAATTCGGCCGATTAAACCCCGGTTAACTTTAATCGGAGATGCTATAACTGGCCCTAAACTAAAAAAGTATGGAAAAATGGGGATATTTACGTAAGATTAATTTTTGATAAAATTTATTTTGTTATATTGTTGTAGATTAAAAAATAATAATAACATTAGGTACTTGAAATTGTTATTGAATATTACATAAGTATACATTTTTTTAAATGATAATTTTTATGCTACATGATTAGTTAGCTAAAATGTTTAAAAATAAAATAGAACGTTCCTCACTAGTTTTACTTCAATATATTTAAAAATGTAAAAAATACAAATTGAAAACGTGTATAAATATTAAAATAAAAATTATGGTAATTAAAAAAATTAATATCATAACTGTTTGAAATTAAAAATCACGAAAACTTGCCAATCATTTTATAGTTAAAAATGCATACAACTTTCAGTTTTAGTTCTTAAAAGGCTTGAAAATATAATACTTAGATATACGCTCAATAATAAGGGAAACTAAGACACTTTTCATATAGTAAAGCGAGTTTTTCGGTTTTTGTCATAAAATAATAAGTAATGTATAAATGAGTTTTATTGTAAATTAATATTTTTTATTTAGGTGTATTATCAGAATTAACAGAAAATAACTACGATGAAAAAAAATTTACGTTAGAAAATGTATCGAGTATTTCTAAAAGGCAAACAAATTTCCAAAATGATAATCTTAACCAACAACAAGTAAAATATTACATTTAAAAAGTAACATCTAATTGAATAATATGTTCTGATTTTTCATTAGATTCCACAAACATACTTCGATTATATTCAGCAGGAAAATTATGATGGTAATTTAGTACCAGAACAACAGCAGTTTGGACAACAAAACGTACAACAGCAGTTTGGACAGCAAAACGTACGACAGTTTGGACAACAAGACGTACGACAGTTTGGACAACAAAATGTACAACAACAAGTTTTTGTACAAGGGTAAATATATATATATTTTTTTACAAAATCATCAATTATTAATATATGAACATGAAAATATTATGTAATGTCAATTTTAGATCACCATCAGATGTATTTCCTCCAACTACTACGACGACTCTATCGCCATTCACTGCTGAACAAGTTCGACTTCAAGAAGAGTATGCGAGAAGAACATTAGTAGAACAGCAGACAGCGCTAATTAGATCCCGTCAGAGGCCTTTAGTCCAACCACTTCCAACTCAGTTTCAAATCCAACCTTCATCGATCCCCGAACAACAGCAGTCACAACCACTGCAATTTATAGATCAAAGTGGGCAAGTGCGTCAACAAAATTTTGTTCCTCAACAACAAGATTTAGTGTCACAACAACAAACCGTTTTGCCTGTTTCAAGTGATGAACCGTTTTCATACGCTCAAGTCCAATTTGGTCCGGTGGCCAAACAAGAGGAAACAGTCGTCAGCCGACCGAAAGGTCAAAGATCCGTCTCGAGGCCCAGAATAAATTACGCTGTTGAACCTGTCACTCAACAGACGATAGACTACTCAGCAGTGACTAAGGTGAATCCGGTGCCGTTTAGTAGCCGTTTACCTCAAAATGTTGTTTACATCCAGCCAAACGGTCAGATGTACAAAGCGATCGAAGATACCGAGCCAGTTGTACAGATTCCGCGAAAGAATCACTATACAGACGAATACCAGACGATATCAGCGGTAACTTCCGGGCCTACAACTAGTGCCACGTCTTTGAAGTCATCAACTACTACCGTGGATCCAATAGAAGAAGAGCAAGTGGTATTGATTCCACGGCCGAAGAAACTTAATCAAAGGCCTAGACAGGAAAGTCGCAAATCGAGTAGAGTACAACAACAGGTGGTGAGAACCGAGAGACCTCAGCACCAACAAGACCAACAACTGCCGCAGTCATCCGAAGTGGAGCCGGACAATTTTCTCACGTCACTTCTATCTAGATTCCAGCAGACACAACCAGAAACGACAGTCGCCGCTTTACCAAAGCTGAGAGGCAGCCAAAGGGCAAAAAGTGGTAACCGTTCTGGAACATCCAAGTACTTGCCAGACAGAAGTCAGTTGCAGCTATTGCAATTTCCACATGAGCTCAAGGCGTTAACCACTGCCGAACTAAAAGTGTTGGAAGAAACGAGCGCRCGAATCGCTGCCGCCAACGACAAATCTGTGGAAAAAAAACAGCTTCTAAGAGACACTCCAGATACTGATACAGCATCACATTCACCATCATCAAATGTAAAACTCAACGAACGATTTATCCTGGGGAATAGACCAGTTCCCATGCCGGTTGAACTTAGCGAGCAACAACGTCAATTCCTCGCAGCTCAAGGTATCCGTAACTTATATCGAGTGGATTACGATCAGTCAGGAAATGAGTTACCGCTGACTTATGTATTAGCATTGGATAACCGCCCCAAATTGGCAGAGCTGAAACAGAAACTCTGAAACTACCCATAAAATATCAACATAACAAAAAGTGCCTATTTATGTATTAAGTGTGTTTTAAATTTATCATTAATTTTCTTTGTAAATAATAATATGTATTAAGTATTAAAGTATAATATACGTAATTACTCGTTTCTGCCATGCTCTAAAATACCAGTTTCCGCCATTGCCCGTTTCTGCCAATATTGGAAAATGTTGGAATCCCATTTCAGTAAATTCACCTACTAAATTATGAATTATGATCAAAATATTGAAAAGCAACTAAAAATTTATTTTTCATTTTATTTAAACTTAACTCAGATTGTAAAAAATCATCAAAGTCTGTTAAATAACTTTATTTTTAAAGAAATGTATGGTTTGTAGTTAATTATATACATAGAATTAATTATTGTTCTAATCAGTGACAGATTGTTAATTATATTATAAAATAAATAAATACAATAAGTAAAAGCGATGACTGTAAATAAACATATTTATCTACAATAAAGTAAGACACAATAAGCACATGATGAGAGAATTCGTCTAGCGATGGAACATTCCAGGTTAATAACTTAAATTTTTTAATACGAGTTATTAGTTATTATGTTGTTTTTATAAAAAATTTATTGATCAAACAGAACAAATATTATAATATATTAGTATATTACCCATACTATTTTCTATTTGAGTAATTATTACTAAATTGTCAATATTAAACATTGTCGTAAAAACTAGGAAAAATTGTTTTAAACTAAAATTTGAATATACCTTGACAATTATCATGTTACTGTTTATTTTTTTAAGATTCAACATTCAACATAATATAATTCTAATACTGATTATTTATTAGTTAATCAATTATTTCACACGTAATAAATTGAAAATAAAAAATGTATTTCAAAAATATGGAATATAAGTATAATTATTTTACCAGAGCAGGTATCCAGGAGGAAAAAGGAATCAAACTTTTTAAAAATTGGCGGAAAATGGAAATGGAAATTGTAGAAATAGTCATTTTAAATTTTTCAGAAATGCGCAATTCACGCTCATATACACGTCTCTTGTTATTGTTATAATTATAATTATAATTTTGTATTTATGTAAATTATTTCTTTCTTCATTTTGTAAAATTTGACTTCTTTGAAATACAAAATAATGTAGTTATTTAATATTTTTCAGAAAGTGTAATCTTTTTTTTAAAAAACGTTATTTAAAAAATAAAGCATGAAAAAATAAATTTCTATAAAAAAAAATTACTCGGGGTATTTTAAAATTAATGCATTAGTTAATATATAACTTAAGTAGATAGTTTTGAAATATATTAAAAAATATTATTATTGTGGGTACAAGTCTCAGTAATATTTTGAAAACTTTTTAAACAACTTACTCATATAATAGCTGAGAGCGAAAAATGTTGTAATTTTAAAGTAAAACTTATTATCATACAAATCATCATATTCAAAAAATAATTTCTTAATCAGTTCTTAAAAATATATTTTATCATAATTTCGTCATAATATTCTTGAAATTAGGAATCAAATAAAAATTATTTATATATTTAATACATTTTTGTATACACATTGTATAATAATTATGGTAACATTTTATAAATTATTACCAAAAAAACAGTGTAATAAATTTAATCACAAATTAAAAATTATAATACCTGTATGTATTATTTGTATTGATAGTTTAATAATTATTGTATACAGTTCTAATATTAATCACAAAAAAAATCGACTATAGAAAAAAAATGGTAAGCCATGAATGGTATTCACGAATCTTGATATTATTATTTAGGCCAATACTGGTCATTATGATGAGTTTGAATTTTAATAAAAATTGATGCTATCTTTAAATATTTTTAGTTAACTACATAGATATATTTTTAGTATTAAAAATTTTTAATTGCCTCCCTCTCCGTACATACCTAATAAATATACATAATGATGTTTTAATAGATTTTTAACTTGAGGTAAACCTCTCCTAATGAAATTCCTTGCTACATCCTTGAGTACATGTATACTTATTGAGGAAGAAGGCTAGAACAAAAGTGAGAAATTTAAAGTACGGAATTTTTTTCTCACGATCGTGATATTTAATTATATAAGTATATTTCATGTATTGTTTTCATATTATTTTGGTTCCATCAGTTATGTATTTTTTAAAATTATATTAGGGTTAATAATAATTTATATTAGGGTATAAATGTTAGTGCCTATACAGGTATTTTGTTTCAACGAATTTCGCGGCGATTATTACCATAGTACGGTATTTTAATACAATATTATTGTAGATTATGTCGTAAATATCATAAACATAATATATCTAAACAAATTATTTCACTGGGCACGAAAAAAGTTTATATATATAAAGTAAACGAAAATGACTGAAAAATGAACAGGTACCGTACGTGCTCACACATGCAATGTGAATGTTCTTGACTTCTTGAACTAAGCCCACCAGATGGGACAGATGGGTGTAGAATTTGTGTAATAGAATTATATTAATAACTTCGGAACTGAATCATGGCAAAATTATGGTAGAAATATTTTGAAAATCGCTGCGAAAATATTGAACGAATCAGTCATGCGAATTCGCTGTGTTTAGCCTCGCAGAGCGATATTCGCCGTAAAATTCGTCGGGTGGATTTCGCGGCGAATATCGCCATGTATAGCCCCAGCCTAAAAGTTATGGAAATAGACGGTTTTGCGGTTTTATGGACTGGGCGGTTTTAAAAATAATCATCCGTCGACGACGAATATCGCGGCGGATTAATTCGCGGCGAAATCGTATAGCCTCTCTGATTTAAACATATACGTTTTCGACGACAGCGGAAATCGCCGCGAAATTCGTCGGGCGGATTTCGCAGCGAATATCGCCGTAGGTTAGGTTAGTTCAAGCAAGTTGGACGTTTGTATCGTATCGACTATTGATTGGCAAAATATATTGGTACAACATTATTGTAGTAGTTTCATGTTAATCTATAAATTAATCTATAATATTATAAACTATCTATTTATGATATATACAGTGTACTGGCTATTGTATGTTTCTATGCGGGTCGATTGTGTATTGATTGTATATTCAATTATTTGATTAATATTAAAAAGTAATTATATATATATATATATATATATATCTGTCATCACCTTATGGAGTAGAATAAATGTCACCACATCGGTAAACCTATACTTTCATGTGACCAATTCTAAACAATTTTAACAATATAAAACGACAGAACCTAATACTGCAGTGGTCGTCACTTATTGGACTCACGTTTAATTGACTCATTCGCTTATAGACTCAAAATGGCTGGTTCCAATTTGCATATACATATACTAACACACAGCAAAAATTCGTCTATTCCAAAACGGTTATAGGGTCATTTGAAAATTAGATAAATAAAGAAAATATTATGTACATATATTGAAAAAACGTGATTTAAATGCCATATAAGTCGGTACCGGTATTTCGCTTTTATCGTGTAGATAAAATAAATGACTTTTTCACGATAAACCAAGCAGTCGTCAATGTCAATTAAGCAACATAAATCTTACGGTGATATGATTATGAAGTTAGCCGAAGAAGGGAAAATCCAATCAACCCTAGATGGATTTTTATCGAAAAATTAATTAGATTTTCCATACCTATATAATATTTTATTTTATTTTTAATTGCGTGTAGCTATATTTTTATTTTTATACAACCTTTATATAACCCTATTCAATGAATATTTTTTATGTAAATAAGCATTTTTACAATTTATTTTGGGTTATTCGCCTTATTGACTCATTCGGTTAATGGACTCAAATTATCAAGTCTCAAAGTGAGTCCAATAAGCGGCGACCACTGTACATATTATATTGATTATTATTAACATAAGTAATAATATCTGTTATCTGTTTATACTGATTTAAGCTGTAGAGTCAATTCCTAACTAAAATGAAGATAAAATTGAATTATATATTGTATTAAATGAGTTTTAGTTAAAAAAAAATAAGKTTATTTAATAAAACCACAATATTAATGTATTAATTACTGTTTTCTGACATTTAAAAATCGGAATAAGCTGGAACAAAATGGGGTATGTATAATACAATAGTATTAGTTAATTGATGTTTCCGAAATGTCTAATAAAATTATTACACTGAGTTATATTTATTTAAAGAACATTTTTTTGTACTTATAATAGTTTATCTTATTTTAAGTTATTAGGTGTTTGTATAGGTAATAATAACACTAATAAAAAAAATCAATATTTTACTAGCAAAATTAAAATAAACGATTTAAGAACAAAATTAAAATGTCTCCCGAAGTCCTGAATGTTAGATAACAAAGAATACAAGAAAACGTAGGTATTGTAGGTTGTAATTAGTTAAAGGAGTAAACAATAAAAGCATATTAAAATATTATCTACATAACAATATGGAACTAAAATAATTAAAGCTCTCGTAAATCATGGTACAATTAAAATATTATAATTCGGTATAATTTGTAAATTATGTTTTTTTCAAAGTATTGTACATATTATTTTTATTATACTAATTATTATTATATGATTCATTTTATCGTACAAGCTTTCATTTAGCTTCATTGTGTCTTTTATTAGGATAAATAAAATGTAGATTGTCATCGTTGTTGTGAAGATAAAATATACTTTTTAGCGTAGAACCGGCTTTATATTATACCTTAGAGTCATATAACAAAATATTGTAGGGTAAAAATTACGATTTTAAAATAATGAAAATATTTATGATGAGTATTAAAAATAAACTAATGTGAAGAATTTTATGTAAAAATACATTTTTACTAAAATTAATTTATAAGCTACTGCTGAATTTAGTTTGACGGAGTAATAATATAAAACTTACAGCTATTCAAATATAAACAATTGTCAATTAAAGTAGTTGAGTTAATTTAATAAAATATACCTTTTTTCTATAAGTTATTATTGAAATCGATAAATTTTGTACTTCATATTATATGCATTAAATGTAGGTATTGTCTAACAAAGTACATAAATTTAAATTTAAAAATGTGTTAAGAGGACCATGTACGTGTAGTCTTCGGGTTAAATTTACGTTMAGAAAAATCCACTTAACTTTGTTATTTTAAATTCTGAAAGGAGCAAGGAGCGATGAGGACGTCACAACCGCATGTGATGTCGCTGTCTAACAATTAAGTTTTTGGAATGATAATTTTTTTATTATGACGTGTAGTATGCACGATCTAAAGTATAGAAAAAGATTTCAAGATTTTCAACTCGAGAATATTTCCTGGTATTAAAGTGAATCTAGTTTGTTTTTTGGAAGGTTAAAGTTACAAATTTCTAGTATTTTTATAAATAATTATAGTGGTGAAAAAATTAAGAAATATGCAGTTTTCGATAAAATCAGTTTTCTAATTTTGTTGTTATTCTTGAAATTTTCGCCATTATTTGTATTAGTATTTTACATGATAATATTCCTTGAAAAATATTTTGACTTTCATTGAAATATTTGAAATTTTTGTAATTTTTTTTCAATGATTGATGAAAACAAAAAAATTCAATAAACTTATACATTTAATACAAGTTTCCTCATCAGTTGTTATTACTGGAATTGAAAAAAAAATTGTACGTAATTTACTGTTCAAAAATGTTTCATGAACGTCTGAATTTTAAATTTAAATGGTAACGAAATAGGACATCCATACGTTAAATAACGATTTTTCATTAAACAATTCTCTTTCGACCAATATACTACATAATGTATTAATAAAATAGCGATATTAATATAACATCATAAAATTAAAAATATACTTAATGATATAGGCTAATAGGTCTGTCTTCAAACACAATCGTAATTCGTGTACGCAATGATCTACTGTTGGATTCAAATTGAACACATATTACATTACAGTAACTCAATGACTTTTATAGTATATACACAACACCATTATACTTTACAGTGGAGTGGTTACATACATTCCTCCTTTTTAATATTAGATAAACATMACTGCACGGGAAATGGTTACCTAGTATTTTACTACATACACAATCACATTTCACATGGAGCAAGAAACGAAAGTTCTTTTCATATTGGTTATAGTTGAATTCCTAAAACCAAATAGTTTGCAATCATCTTAAAAAAAATAAATTGATTATTTTATTTGTAAATACTTATTATCCCATAAAATACTTATTAATTATGAATTTTAGAAAATATTATTTTCATAATTAATTATATTCATTATAATGTAACAACATTTTTGAAAAYATTTTATCAAACATATATCTTTAAGTTCATAATTCGAAGCAAAATAATGTTTTGAGAATTTTCATATTACAATCGGATAGGTAGGCGGAGCAGTAACCACTCTGCCATCAACAAAAGCGCATGTGTCATATCAAAAAGAGGTTGACATTTTAGATGTAAAATAAATTGTACTATACGATATTGTTATAAATGTCTAAAAAGTGTACAATTTGAAAAGTACCTACAAATTATTTTAAATTAGATACGATACTTTAATATGGTGSCTTAGTGAGGCGCGGTCGTACGCTCAATCTGCGGAAACGCATATACAAACTGCACGTGTTACAACCCTATAAACTTAATAACCTACAAACAAAATATACAAACCCTACCGTACCACCTCATACCCAATGACGTATGGTTCCTCGAGTTCCCCTTAATTATAATACATAATAACAATTTAAAAAATATACTTTTTGCTATAGTAATACTTTAATAATTTACCTATATACCACTTGTGAATAAATACAATCATTTATGCCAAAACAAGATAGAAAACTTACCTTTAAAGCTAAAATAAACTAACCTTGCTTTAAAAAAACAATAATTGCATTTTTATGTTTTTAATATTCGTTATAGTTTATGTATTAATATATATGGCATTTCGTTATATTGAGTTGTATCTAAATATAACATACTAAAATACTTACATATATTGTTATAACTACTTTTCGTCACTATTGAAATCGAGTCTCATCATTTTACTTAAGTACACCGATTTTTATTTTTAGTGATAACGATAATATTGGTTTTATAATGTTGATAAAATTGCATTATATATGTTAATATTTTGAAGTGACGTACTGACGTCAATATGTTCAACAGCTGACACAAGTCTCGATACATGGATTATGTACAATGATAATGTTTACACATATTTTATAAACTCCATTATTTTCTACGTTCATGGTAAGTACATATTTATATACACGTTTATGTTACTCTTTATAATTCTGCCACACACTCACATATAATACAATATTCCGGAAACTATGGTTTCCGATTTTTGAAACTTTAACTGATAATATTCAACTTTTCCATCAAATTGTATTTGTTTCAAATACTGGAGTACCTATACATCTTTATCTTACTTAATTTAATTGTATTCAGTTTTTCAATGGATATTTAAAAATCATTTTTTTTTTTTTTAATTTGAACATTGTGTTTCATTCATTAAAATTCGATTTTATTTTTTTATACAATAGGTACATTTAGGTGTAAACCTCAGAGAGGAAAATTTAATATTTGTTCTTTTTTTATGTAACTATGTTATTGAAATTGAGTATAAATTTAAAAAAAAATTCCAATAGAGATACAGATTAGGTATTCCAGTCTCGAGACTAAACGTTGTAAATAGAATCAATCATATTTTTTTACCACTTAATTATTTTTGTGATCGAAACAATTTTATCACAAAATAATGAAATTCATAAAGACATTGCATAAGGAAACATGAGTCACTTGAATTTTCTAATAACTGTAAATGATTTATATGCAAACATTGATGTACCTACAAGAAGCTGCTCGTATTGTTTTTATTTATAACCAGAGTAGTTGATTTTATATTTTTAGAAATGTTWTATAATATTTTTTATGTATGAATATTAATAACTATATTATTTCAAGAAATCGTGCATCGAAAGTGTATAGTAACGGTGCACATTGAATAAGTAATTAATCACGTAAAATCATATTTGAGTGTCCATTAACGACGTTAGTGCAGTACCATCCACAAGTTTCTCCTTAAAACCGGACTAGTGTAAAAAACGGCACTATGGAACCGATATTTAGATCACGAACTGTGTGGTGGTTTGCATAACAAAAGAAGTTTTTATTTTATATGATTTTCCTTAAAATTGTATCAGTATAATTTCTATAAAAAGTGGTTTGCACAGCGAGTTCAGGTTCAGAGAAGCTCTTACAGCTATCCTGCTAAGAACAATACGGATTGCAACTGGATTACAATTTGACGCTATGGCTTTTTTAAAAATTAGTGAGTTACACACTTTGATGTTATTATTATTGTTATTGTTATTATAAAACCTACCTTGTAAGTGACATTTTTCTTATTTTATAAAAAAGTGTAAGCAATTACATTGATGTATTTAATTTGTTTCTTTATTATCATTTTGTTGGGTAGTTAATAAAATATGTAATACTTGCTACAAATTTTAATTTAGTCCAATCTATGATTAAATATTTAAGATAAAAAGTATTTAAAAATAGTAACTAATTGTTAAATATATAATAGAAACTATTTAAAAACAAAAATACATCATTCATCACAGAAAAACCAAAAAAAATGTATGCATGGAAATTGTTGGCTATTAATTTTTCAACAGAAATCAATTTTAATATATCTATATTAGGTGTTTAAAAATAATATATGATTTATTATTAGCTTATTTTTACTCAATTTAAATAAATAAACACTGAGGCCATTACAACTTAATTTTAAAAGTATTTTATTTTTTCCTGTTATTTTTATTTAAATTGAAAGTATTTTATTAATAGGTCTTACTCTACCAAAAATATTTTTTTATAAAACTTTATTTTAATTTTATAATTTTAAATTATAAAATTACTCAAAATAATCAAACGATCGTTCATAATATTTATTTATTTTAACATATGACCCCAATAACCTTGTTAAAAGATGAATTGTTGTTTTTACTTTATTTGTCTTTTTTTATTCTAAATTCAATTTAAGGGGATTCTTTGTCTTGGATCCATGGTTATAATATTCAACCTCTTTATATAATTTTTGAAACATCATATTTTTGGACATAATTTCAAACTTACAAAACTTGAAATGTCGATTTTCTTATTCAACATTTAAAGTATTTTTGATTATTTGATTTTAAGTTTGGTTTCGATTCTTCAACTTTTTCTTCGTCAGGAACCAATAATGAGCTTGAATTTTCTAACAATAATTTTTCTTCGAGTTTAGTTTTCTCCAAATAAATTTTTTTTTTATATCTACATACAAATGATTGTTTTATTTTTTCATATTTTAATCTATGTCTTTTTTCCATGTCATCTAGTTGTTTTTCAAATCTCAGACGGTACGACATAATCAATTGTCGATAGTATTCTTTAAAATCTGCTAGATTTTGTTCTTTAAAATATCCGAATTCCTGTTTTATATAATTTTCTCTTCGTGTTAACGTTTTTTCAATACTTGTATACATCGTTTTCTCAGCGTCAATTTTAGATTGTATTAGTTTTTCTTCACATTTTTTGTTTAAGTTCATTGTAATAGCTGATACAGCTTCCTGTAAACATTCCGAATTATAGTAGTTTATTYAGTTTGAATATAGGTGTGCAAATAATTTTTTTGGGATTATGATTGTTCACAAATTATAAGTATTTAAGGAAATTGAGAATATTATTTAAAAAAATTGAATTTTAGGGAAAACATTTGGATATATTTTTATATTAGTATCACAATAATTAAGAGGACACATATTCAGTAAAAAAAAATCACCTAAGAATGCGATGCACCTCGTATGTGTGGCGGAGGTGACTTATATCAACATGCATTTGTTAGAGTCGACCGTTTGCGTAATAATAATTCAGGAACATCTATATTTAATCAATTAAGTAGGTACCTTTTACCTAAATTCTTCCTTAAATAAGACAAACTCTTTTTGTAATGATATAAAATAACTTTACGGTTTATATATACTGTATAACTAAACTTTGTACGTATCAATATTAGATCATCTRCAAAGAGGTCAATCATTGTAAAATATTCGTATAATTATTATTATCGATGGACTACCACTCGAAAATTAATTTTTCTGTTTTCGATTTTCCTAATTTTAAAAAATCATAATTTTTTTAACTAAGAAATTTTCGCTATTTCATCATCACTATATTCTTTCAAGTAGTTCCTAAATCTCTCTCTTAGGACGAATTCTCCCTCTCCTGGTTGTAAGCCACTGGTTAATAGGACACAACTACAGTGACTGTAATAATAATTTTCAAGTAAATTTATATAAGTAATTAAACTAAATAATAAAATTCCGTGAGATCAGAAATACATGCATTATTCTATATTTCTATGTGCATAGAATGTAGGCACGATTGCGTGTTCTATGCGGTATATGCTTGCCCTGACGTAATATTTTTTTATTAAATATTCCCAATAGTTTTCATTTTTCATACATTATTATAATATATTTATTGATTATATTAAATATTGATTCAGTTTTAAATTAAATTAAGAGTATAGACTACAATGTTCTAAATTGTGACAACACTGACAACTTAAAAATATATRACTAATCACTTACTGAAAATAAGTAATGAGACTTTTGGACCACTTACTTACGTACATATTAAAAGTGATTATGAAGGTATCAAAAATCAATATTTTTTGGTCATGAAATGCTTAGTAGAATGTTTTATTTTTTATAAATGAATGTTATAAAATGATAATAAAAAAAAATACTGAGAAATATACTAAGAGATATACCTATAAATATTCCATTTTTTCGTGCATCGAAAACACCAATGTAAAATGCCTATCTGTCAAGTATTATATTTTAATTTATCTTTATATTGGTGTACTTTAAATATTCATCTTCATTTGTATCAAAATATTTTTGTGGATAATAATTTAACTTATCTAGATATTTTTTATGTAATCGTTTTAATTTTCATTTTGACAATCTATTTCATATTAAATTCATTATAACCTACTCTAATTTTTATATGAAAATAAGTAATATATATTCAAACTGTATACATCGGTAGAATACAATGAGTAAAAGTTATGTTTGAATAAATAGACGTGTTATGGTGTAATGCTTAAGTAAAGGGTGTGTCCAATGAACCACTTCATACTTTAGAACTTATCATTTAGGTGTGCATGAGTTACTTTAAAAAAATACACTTGCCTACTAAAATGTATTAACATTATTTAGTATATTTTTTGCTAAACGATTTTAAACACTTTAATCTATAAATGAATTAAATACCAACTATTAATATAAGGATAGGTTAATAAAAATAACTTAACCTAACATGGTTAATAAATAATAATCGATTATTGGTTCATACTAGATTCGTATTACATTTATATCTAACATACATAATATTATATTATGAATCAGTTTTAATTTTTCATTAATTAAATATTTATCAACATTTTAGGAAATCTTGTATTTGTCAAATTTTTACCGAATGTCAGAATGTACAGTATATAATACAATTATTATTATTAAAATACCTATTGTGTTCTAATAAATCAACACTGTTTATTTTGTACAATGCATCACTGATTCAATCTGTAGAAATTGTCAAATATGAATCGCAAGCTTATGCCACTAAGCTATTAATATCAAAGGGTTAAAAGCTCTATCATTGGTTAAGTATGGAAGTGGGATTATATTATGTCAATATAATTTGCAATATCATTATTCGATGTGATATTATATAGGAACTACTACAAACAGACCACCACGATAAATGTTTTTATTGGCCCTATACAAGATTTCAAATAAAATACAACCCATTATAGATATCTAAGGTTAATCCATATCATAAAATAGTAAAATTAGTTAATTAATTAAAATAAATTATAATAAAATAATAATATAATTTTTTATAAAATAAGTTTTCCTATAAAATAACCGATCCCTKTAACCCAGGTTTAACCATTCCCCATGTGAGGGCTCTAACCACAAAGAATATATTACTATAKATTATAATTTTTTTTCATTTAGGCAGGAAATCAGCTGAAAATAATTAAAATAATACTAAGTAATTACTGGATTATAAATAAATTTGAATTATATCATAATTTATTATATTTAAACTATCAATATCTATCCTGTGCAAATTTTACTGTTTCAGATTCCGAATGGATGAGTGATAGATGTATTATTTTTATAATAATGTTTGTTACTTATCTGTGTCTTATATCCACTTCTGGAGTACTAAAAATTTTCAATTTTGATTGTGTTTTCGGGTATAAAATTTGATCTAAAATCTTAACCTAACCTTAACTTTGGGTATTAAAGTWAAAAATTCTGATGTGATAAAACAAAAAAATATGAATTTGTTGATTGTAAATTGTAAGAATACATTTTTGCTTTCATTTAATTAGACATTGATTTGTATTTTAATATAGATATAGAGTACACTCTTTCTGAAACTACCTCTACTCAATAATTTATTATAATGATTTTGTGTGATCTATAATGTGGAGTTATAAGGGGGTCATTAAAGRAACCTCTAAAGTCATGCTATAATAATTRAAAAATACTTTTACCTACTAAAATTGTGAATATATTTTGATATAGGTAACAATATAACATTACATTTAGTATACTAATGGTTTTTATCAAATGTTYTGAGAAAAAAATTATGTTTGAAACGTAAATGAATTGAATGGTACTTTATTGAGTWCGGTAATTATTATGAAATGTGTGATGTAACATTGTAATGTCAAGATTGGTCAAGATTATAAATTTAAAAATATGTACACARATATATTGTTATATTTTTTTGACTTGATTGATCGTATTTCTAAGTATYAAAGTATCAATATTTTAACAACAAATTGTTAAAAAATTCAAATATATCTCTAAAAATATATTATTATGTACATTGTTTTGTTGGAATTAATCATTTTACCTTAGTAACTTTCAGTATGAAATCAACATTGGTGTCGAAATAACGCGTATAAATAATTAGATTAAATATAAAATGTGTCGCAGCTTACACAATAAACGAGTATTTGAAGTAAAATATTATTACTCAATGTACAGCAAACAACCAGTTAAAAAGTTTTTTAATACATTTAAGGTTTAATATTTAAAAAAAAATTAAAATAGGTTTCAAAGTTTTTTTTGATTAAACATTTTTAAAACGCATTCCAACCATAGACAAATATTTATCAACAATTTTAATAATTATGTTCATGTATTATACTCGTAAATACACGTAAATACACCTCATATAGCTTTTAGGTCTTTAGGGTATATTTATTTTTATACTTACGTTAAACTTATTCATGTAATATTTGGTATCCTGTAACAGTTTGTCATCGTATTCAGCTCGTATAAATATTGTATCTTTCTCAAGTTGGTAATTCATTTTTTCCATTAGAATCTCTGTTTCYTGCTTAAATATTTGGTTAAATATTTTATGCTTGGGTTCAAAATACGTTTTTTCCTGTGCTGAACCCATTTCTAAAATTTTGATTTTATTAAAGTTTAATTTACTTATATCGTACATTTAACAATAGCACCTAAAATATATTTATGCACATTTGCTTGGATCTGTTGTGCGTGTCTCACAGGATGGAGCTTATTTCTAATTTCTATTTGAACATTTTCTTTTTTGTTGATTTGTTTTTTTGACTTTGGTTGATCTTTAAAAGATACTAATATCAACATATTTTGTAAAGCATCAAACTGRTAAGATTATTAAAAAACAATAATACACTGCTACTTTTTCTTTAGTAGTAGAMAATTAGATTCTGATAAACCAAATAAATAAAATATCTAATACAGTAATAAATTCGTTTAATTTTAAAATATTCTCAGTGTTTGATGAAAATAGGTGATGTATGAAAAATCCACGTCAAATGTTTATAAAAACAATGTTTTAAGTTCATTTTTGGTACACACGTTAATATGTAAATATTGGTAAAATTACAAATTTTGTGTTTATATTTTGACACATACGATTGTTATTATATACAAACTAAGAAGTTTTATGTACCAACAATTTGAGTACATGGATTAAATCTTGACGAATTTTTCTTTTGAATATTACTCATTTCAATACATTAGCATAATTTATAAAACTAAATATTATTTAAACAAATATTAAGATAGTAATACATTAATAACTAATAATAATCGATAAAAATATAGCTAAGCAACTATTCTGATATTATGTTACAATTTAAAAATTAATATTAACGATCTATTTTTGTGTAATCGTATACTAACAATATTTTTATTTATTTACATAATAATACATTTTCAATAATGTTGAACTTATTAATAATTCGACTGTATGCAAATTATTCCTTTATACTATAATAGATACCTATAGGCTATAGCTTATTCGATGAATTGTTAAACTGATAATTTTTATGAATAGATGATATAAATATTGATAAATAGTATTTATAGAATTAGTAGGCATTAGTTGTAGCTGTGATAATTTAGAAAATCCACAAGAATTTTTTCATTAAACAATTTCGTGTGAAATTATTTATAATATACTGAACGAGGCATAATTATTGCATTAAAACACAATAATACTCAAGGCAATAATAAATATTTTAATGGGTACTATTTTATTTATAATACTTAATACACTAACATAATTTCATGACAATGATACATAATACATAATAATAACAAAAATAATAATAATCGAATCAGTTGTCAAGTTTAAACTRATACGACTTGTTCATTGAATAGGTTTCAGATAGTTTACAGGGTGACATTTATTTATTGAATTTTTGAGAAAATCAATTTTAGATATTTTTATAATTCTAAAACAAAGTACTGTAGACACATGAAATTTTCACTGAATGTTGCATTTTCTATATCAGATAAMATTTTAAAAATATTTCAAATCTTTTTAAGTTATTTCTAGGCATTTGAAATTTTCAGTCTTTTAAGTTTTTTTTGATATAAACTATCCTTATAACCGTCTCCACTCAGAATCGTTTTTCGTATATACAATGATATTAAATCATTGAAATCAAATTTAATACAATCCATGACAGTAATCCACTTGTAACCTACTGTACAGCAGAGTGACATTCATTTACCCGATTTTTTTAATGTGCAAATAATAATAAATTGTAGTCTGTGTTCTAGCGATCATCAGTACCATGGTTATTACATTGGCAACAGCGTGGTCTGGTCAGTTTCCACAGTTTTACCATTCGGTTCCTTCACGGGCGTCACCACCGATGGCATTTAGACAATTTTTTCAAGAACCATTGCTCCCACAACGTTATTTTGTACACCAACCACAGTTTCGGCAGCCGTTGGAGTTTTACCAACCACCGACTCCACCACCGACTCCACCACCGATTCCACCACCAACTATGATGCCACCAAATCAGCAAACTTCACGCGTGTTACCTACCGCTCCATTGGCGTCAAACCAAGTGACCCCGACCGGCGTTCATCATCACGTGTACTATTACTATTTTTATTTGCCGTTAAAAGGCGAAATACCAATGACCGGCCGAACAGGAGACGACGACGGTCGTGTGCCACGACAGCCATGCGGCGATAATCGTCCCATCACGACTGCCGAATGTCCTCCGGTATACCTTCCACCTCCACCACCTTCACCATCCCCAATACCACCAACACCGCCAACTACCCAAACTCCAACTTCTACTGTATCAGTGTCTCCGCCGTCGCACAGTCCTTGCAACGATGATGCTGTAGTCGTGGACAACGTGGAATATTATCCTTTCGGTAGAACGCCAATAGTAGTAGCGCCTGCAAACAGCGTCCGAGATGGTTCTGAAAACGGAAGTCGGGACAGCTCAGAACATAAGCACGTGCATAACACCCAGCCCAACTTTATTTTGGCCAACTACTTACTACCACCGGACAAATGAACACCGCCGGTACCGAAATATCCCAAAATTACAGGATATTGTAGGTACTATATCAATATCAAATTATATGCGTTAATGTACATATTAATAATWATTATTTTTTATATATTTTTTAAATACGTAATGTCATTTTACGCTGATTATTATTATACTCGACTTGTCCAACAGTCGGTTCCGTCAGATCTTAACCCAGAATTCCATTTATTTGTAACTAATTMTATGGCCACTGTAATAGTGTAATCAAATGGGAAAGTAACATTGCTTACAATTAAAGACTTCATTAATAATGTGTTRAGCGATTGTTATATCTATAAATATACTATTTACAWYATTGAATATTATTTTCTAYAACGAATCCACGGAAATTACTATAATTGCAGTTTTTAAGTAGTTTTTATCATAGTCTTAGACTTGGTATATTAAAATATCATGGATTCTAAGTTCTATAAAAAATCGTGTAATTACGCGATCATTAATAAATGATATGTTAATAATTTTTCAAAAATACGATATAATGTATCRTAAAAATTATTGTACAAACAAATAAATTGGCACGATTCTCATTCTAAAAAAAATCACATGAAATTAAATATTTAAATAAATTATTTAGTCACTTTTCTATTACTAGAAATCCAAAAACATCCTCCAATTGATCCAGTACCTATTTGAATTACTAGATAAATTTCTATCTGACTACATCGAACTGCATCTCTTCATATAAAATAACAGCTTTGTGGYGTTATGTCCAACGCTTTGAACAAAATTTGTTTCAAACTATTAGACTGCTATCTTTAGGAMTAGAAAATAAATTCTTAATACATTTTTGAATCACCTCTCGATTTGGGTATTTATAAGTTTCAGAATATATGATAAAAGTGAATAACAAAAATAATAGCATGAATTAAAAGTAATAATAATGGACAAGGGAGTACATATAAGTTCTCCTTGTAATGAACATGAAAATAAGTATAATTACTGTATTTTAGCCAGTTAATTTAAAATACCTATATTTCATTTTTAAAGAAAATATTAGGCATCTTTTCTTAAAAAAGCTTTCTGGTGAACATGCAACTGTGTTTTGTAATCCAAAAAGCGTTGAGTTCACGAGGGCACGAGGCGTAGTCACGAATTTGTACGATAATTAAATCGCTAACTAATAAACGTCATCATGTATAGAGTTAGATGACCTTAAAATTCACGAAAACTGGTGTTGAATCATCGTATGTTTTCTGGCCAACTACCAAAATAAGAAGATGAAAGTAAAATAATTCAAAGGAAAGTGACACAATCAAGTACTTATATATGGTGAAATAAAAAAATTAAATACATTTACGATACGTTATATAATAAAAAACAATAATACTCGAATGTATAAATATCAAATATAAACCATGTCAAACATCATATTATTATTAAGATGTTATAAATATAAAAAATGTATTAGATTTATAATAACTATAAATTTCTAAAAAAAATTATAAGGAAATCGAAATTTAAATACATCACATTTGTTTACAATTTATCGTCGGCACTCAATAATAGGTAGTTAACTAATAATAAGGTATAAAAATTAAAAACTTAAAAATAGAAAATAATAAAGTTTAGTATTGCTTATAAAAAAAATACCTAATAAATGTAAGGAAATAAATAAATGTACAGAAAGAAGCAAAGGTTCTTATTTGAAAAAAAAATAAACGTTTCCACCACCACAAGACATTCCTCAAGTAGCACAAAAAATCTTAAGAATTCGAAGATATGATCTTGATATGTAATTAAAAATTAAAAATTCGAATAAATTCATTATTGAAAAAAAATGAGATTGATCAGGGTTGATAATGTATATATGTATATGAGTAGTAATATCGATGATATACCTAAAAATGACTTAAATTATTTTAGCCTAAGATAAATAACTTTAAAGTAAAAAGTGTGTACCAATGTTTTTCAAAATCAAATTTAGTTTTTAACTCAAATACATTAATAACTTTCTTTCAAATTTGTTCAAAATAACTAGAAAATACTAAATATTCAATTTATTAAGTATATTACTGATTAAAATGTTACAGAAAAGTTAAATATTTATAAAAATTAAATCTTTAAATTAATTTAATGTGGTCGTACATATTATTAATTATTCATAGGTATACTATTACACTTTTTAAAATGGCTTCTAATTATAATTTTAACAGTACCTATTTACTGATTTAAATATTTTAGTTTTTATACTTTGGCACAAGTCAACTTGAACAAAATTGAAAGTCAAAATACATAAAGTCTTTTAGATAATTCTATCTAGGACTAATGTACCAATTATACTATAGCCTGTAGGTAGATACGCAATTTATTATAAGATTTATTATCAAACTAGTTCATTCATGAAAAGCATAGTTTTCTCCAACTCTTAACTTAAGATAACTTACTAACAAACGTCAAACATATGATATTGGATTGCAGGATTATTGCACCAGGTGTTTAAACGACAAATAATTAAAATACACAAAAAAAAAAAAGTAAATAAATGTATAAAATCCTGGTTAGGTGCCTTGTCTATGCGCTATGGGTTCTTCTAAGGTAGGATGCCGCTTATAGAGATGAGCCGCCGATTTTCGTCTGGCCRTGGCGTGTTTTGAAGCTAAACAGAATATTATACTATTATATTGAAAATTGAGCAATAAGATCTCATTATATCATGGTGTGGTTATATATAGTATAAAAATTATAACATGAAAATAAATATATAATWAATATTTAATACAATTTTTATGTACTCACAAGATATTTTTTCGTTAGGATTTATTAGCATTTAAGAAACTTTCAGAACCTTTGTTGAATATGYATCAGAAGTGGTTATATCAGCATACGTATAAATTATGATGTAGGATGGAAGAACTTTTAGCTTGTGCCGCAATAAAATAAGATGTTGGAAAGTTATACATGAGTATCAAGATTATTAACTTAAAATTAATATAAAATCATCAAAGTATTAATATAACATATAGAATATACAACTACAGAATTTAAATTAAGTAAAATATATCTTCCACGTACAGTCGATACTATATCCATTATTCATTAGTTTTCCATTAACTATTAATTTAAAATATTATTTTATTATTTTTCTTTAACAAATTGTTACTTACCAATAATAGCTAATAAATAAGTAATAAAATGATTGAATAAACGAATGAATACTTATAAAAAGTATAGTTATGAAAAATGTGTAACCAAAATATTAGTACTGCGTATAGTAATCATGTACCTAAYACCATTATATAACAATATGTCAGTTTCCATTTTTATTTTATACTTTGAATCCAACAGAATACATTATTTATAAAAATAATATAATTTGGATGTAGATGAAAATCTTTGAATTCAAATATTTTTATGATCGATTTCTAAGCAGGCRACATATTCAATAGTCTTAGATTTTATGTAGATTATTTTAGATCTCATATTTTTGTGTTATAGAAAAATGTTTGATTTTACAAAGACATTATGCTGTGTGTATAATCGTTACCATAATACGTATTGCATAATCATGTAGAATTTTATGACATTTTTATTCTTCTTAATCCTATTGTATTATGCATTATGCATATGATTATAGATTTGTATATTATTATATCGAACAAAYTGAATTTGTCGTGCTATTTAATTTAAAACATAAATCAACTTGATGTTATTATAATATATTTCATATTGCAATTAAATTGAAATTAAGGAAATTTTAAATTGTTGAAAATTGTAGACTACWTATATTAAAACTACTTTAATATAACCTCCACACATTTTGTCCGTAATTTCCACAATAGATTTTTTAGTTACCTACTTATTAGTTATTTATTAGAAAATATCAATATCAAAAACCAATTTCGTCTATAAATAGAATAACGTTTTGTTATAYTKATGTTTTTACTGTTGTTATTTCCACTTTCAAGAATTTATAAATAGTAAACGATTTTTTCATTGTTTGAAAACTAAATTGTGCGTTCTTTCAATATCAAATCACATTTCAGTTAACACATGTATTTGAGCATAATGTTGTGTGCTTATTATTTTGTAATTTTGTAATGACGAGTTAGACTCGTACCTATGGTGTTGCAAATACTAACTGATAAATAGCAGCGTTCGAGGCTTAATCAAATTGGTTATTGCTTAATACACGATTCAAGTAGTCAAATAAGTACTAAGGCGTATTTTTATTAGTAGTGGTTGGTATTGTGGTGGAAAGTAGGACGAAGGTTCTAGTTGCACTACAACAGTTCCTGGCAAAACGATTCAAACCTTCAACAGTGAAAGTATTATTTCGTTTTAGTACCCGCAAAGTGCCGTATTCTTAACACCCGGTATTGCATTTTTTTTTTTATCGTTTTTTGCCATATTTTAAACGGGTGGTTGAGAATCACCGAAGTTCTTCAACCGTTTTCAGGTACTTCGGTAAGTAGTTTTAGTAGTATTGAGTAAAATATATTTTTAGACAATAAATAAATATAGGTAGTATATTATATATGTATAAATGATGCTTATGTTAAAATACATGGTAGTATTTTCCTATTTCATAATCGTTAAATTTTGATATGTATTTTGGGTTTCACAGAGGTAATTCCGAAACTTTAAAATTATTAGATAATCTCAGAACTTTTCTTASATAATAATTTATTGCAAATGCAAACAAAAAAACAATCGTAAAACGGGAATGTTTACGAAATGTTGTTTTTGCTTTAATTTGCATTTTTTGTTCATATTTTAAAGAAACATAGTTATTCATTATTCTATTTATAGTATTTTGTTGCAATTAAAAATATACTCATACTTAATATCACTCATTCTAAAGTTTGTACTTATTAAATGTACACATTACAATATTAACGATATTTAAAAATATTAAAATGTTCACAATAAGTTCTGTAATGTATACCACGAACTTTCTCACGATTCTACGTGACGTTGATATAATAAATTACATAAATACATGTATAATATTATGATAGTTTATAAAAATATAATATAGGTATGACATGTTTTTGGAAAACAATAGTTCAATCTACTAAATTACAATTAAAAAAATTAATTGCTTATAATAATATAAATAAAATATTGTAAAATACTCTTAGAAATAAATAAGACTATGTAGTGTGTCTATATTAAGAACCATTTTCGTACATATTCAATGATTTAATCATCATTGAATTAAAATGTCACAAATATAATAACTCAATGATGGGGTTCCTACAATTGTACAGTGTAACATTTTTTGACAATTGTTGAACTATAATAGTTATACTGAAAGTTCTTAATAAAAAAAAAAAACATTCTTTGATTTTTTTTTAATGAACTAAATTGGTGGTAAAACACTTAGTATTAAAATGTATTATCCAATTTAACACTACTGTTGTTTTTATTTTTTGTATATGATTACGTAAAAATACGTGTAATTGCTGAAATATGCCCAAAGGTAATCATTATTCCGTCTTATTGAATAGAAGAATCTACATCTTAGTATATGGAACTAAAAAACCAGTTGTCTAACAGGAAGCTTAAGGTGAATCGATGCATAACTTTAAGAGTAATTACCTACTTTCTTTTTTGGTTCAATTCAATCAAAAAAAAACATTTTGTACGTTTGTTTATTGCTAATTAATGATCATCATCTTAACCAATTATTCACAAGTATTCTTTATCTATATTTATAGGACTATCGTTTGTAGTTCACATCGGCATACAATATTAGACCTAATATTAATAACCTTGTCTTTTTAAACCATCAACTCACGACACATCGAGGAGAATGAGTGTAGACAGTGTAGTATAAAAGTGAACAATATATTTTAGTATTACATAACACAATGACAACGGCTAGAAAATTTGAAAAATTTAGGTGTTTTTTTTAGGAAAAATCCTTTGTTTTTGTTTTTAAATAAATCTTAAGTGTAATATGCTACAAAAACTGTAAGAATATGAATCTAAATTGCGTGCCATACAAATCGTTTATGATGACGATAAATAGATAATTATATCCATAAACTAGTACATCTCAGGATAGTTCAGGTTTTTATAAAAGAATGGTTTTCATTTGATGTTAGTGTAGTTTCTAGTTGTTCATTCAGACGTCTTCATTTATAAAAAAAAAAACATTGATTTTTTCACTCAGTTTCTATATAATAAACTAGGGGACGTGTTTTTACATCACATGGTGTATGTGTGTCAAGTAGAAACGAAAATGTGTGACCCTTTCAAGTCCTCATCATCATATATAGCAACCATTCATACGTAACACAAGAGTGGTTATTTGTCAATATGAAAATATTCATAGCATAATAATACGATATATTGCGACACTAATTCAAAGATGAATGATGATGACGGACAAATACATAATACGTGGTCTAACAATTAAGGTCTAAGATTGATAGATTAAGTTTTAACGATAAGTCTGTTTTCAGACAAACGAGCATCTTTTTCTATAAGTTTTCGAAAAAATTATAGAAACATTAAAAACATAAATTTTTTTTTTTTTTTGATACCAATAAATTGTCATTAATATTTTCAAATTTTGTAAAAATTAAAAAAAAAAACAAACAAATAATGACTCAAATATATTTACGGTTAATAGTGGAAGGAAGTTGCAGATTTAAAGAATTTTGAGTCTATTTTCTGTACCCGGAGGAGAATAGGGTATGCAAACCCCCACCAAAAATCTGGCCTCGGAAACTAGGTATGGTTTGAAATTAAACGAAAACACGACCTTGTAGTTCATTTAGAATAATCGAATGGTTTGCTACTAGAGATAAGTACGCGTAACAAGCGCTCTTCCCGTCGTGTTAATTATGTGAAAAAATATGACTTAATAATTGTTTGACCAACATATCGTATTAAAATTTGTATAGTATTTTTGTATTTTTATATTAGTAGGARATTAAAAAAAATTCAGGACAACAACCTTTAAATGATTTTCCATATTTTTTTAACTGAAACCTAGTGTGGCTTGATGGTCGGATTAGGTCACTAACGTGTTCTGAGGTCAAGAATCGGTCAGCATCGTTAGTTTCCTAGATAGGCGACCACTCAGGTATTCAGTGACGAATTCTTGATTAACATACATGTGTTCATCAACCAAAAGTAACCTCCCGAAAAATACTAATATGTTGYCTATGTTTATTATCAAAAAAAGATTGTTAGCTTGTGTTTAATTAAAGAATAGATTAATAATTAATTATCATAACGACATAACAAAAWTTTTAGGTTAAATATATAAAATCAATYTAATGAAATATATTCCTAAATTGAATAAAACAATGTTTTAAACTTTTAAAGTAGCAATGGATAATAACTATGGACGCATTTAAAATTTAAACAAATACATTTTTATATTATTTACATTTATATTATTTAATACATTTTTGAAATTCGAMATTTCTAAATATCTTTTATTGTTGTACAAGAGCTTTATAACAACGAATTGCAACAACACTMCTGTTTTGATGTTATCATGGGGGTGAAAATATCTAAATACAAGAGGTTTTTTTTTCTTTTTTGATCCCAGTTGCCCTTTTTTGGGGTTCAACTGTTTGTGTTATTTTTTCATTCAACGATCAACATCTCTTAAGATATTATCGTTGTTAGGTATAGGTAGATATTCTCTACTGCAGTCAAGAGTACTCTCTCTCTCTCACACACACACACACAAGATACTGTTGGAAAGGTCATCTCTTTAGACTCCGGCCACCCAGAGTTCCGGTAGACCCTCATTCAATCACTTCTCAGTCACAGGAAATGWTCTGGAGGGGATTTCCGACATTTAATAGCCCACGAAACGTAAACCCTTCGTAATAAACATTGATGTCCGGCAGCTGTGACCGTGGTGCTTGAACGAAAACGACTTAATATTATGATTAAATGATGTACCTACCTACCTACTCCACGTTTTTATGTATATTTTTCTGATTCGCAGACGCTCAAAAACCATACATCATAATATGTATATCAAACTTCTCTTCTCGGCGTTAACAATCACGGCGTTCACGTCGGCACGCCCACAGCAATTGCCGATATCTCTAGTGCCACCCATCCAACAGGGTTTCGTAGCAACACCACAAAACAACGCCATAAATCTTTCAGTAAGTCCACACGATAATTACCTAACCTCTAAAATAACCGAAGTGTGACTTAAGACCTAACCACCGTACCGCATCTCGGATAATGTTGCTCGATTCTTATGTCATACATTAACACGCGTGCTGTACATAGAAGCACATCGTATTAACGCATCGATATTCATTACCCATACTAATAATTTAGATTGTCATAATAATTAATCACAGTTTATTGACAATACAAAYTATTTTTACTGTTTTTGAAATGTGTTACGTTTCGATACAATACAAAAACAGTTAAAAGAAACAATTTWATAAAAATATAACRGATTTTAAATCAATAATATACATAATACAATATCAATAGGTATAGACTATTGCAGGCGTATTGAATACAAGTATTGACGTAACGCATTGTTTATCAATATTTAATATATACGGAACACATTAATCACAGAAACTGGTATTTAACATCTTAGCAATATACTTTCGAATAAAAAATATTGAATAATAGGTTTGATTGGCTCTTTAAAATTGTTTTATTTARATTAACATAATATGTAAGTTTAAATTAGACATAAGTATCATTGTGAAAACGGAATGAAAAATAGAACTCAATTTATTTAAATTATTGATAAACAACTTTTAGTTGTAATTGAGGATTTTAYTAACCACAGATTTGTCTGATAATACTTAGTAATTTTTTATAATAATACAATATAGGGTTAAAATAAAGTAAGATTTCTATTTCTATTAACTGTTCACCTATTCAATTTTTAGTTCATGGTTACTTGGACATTGTATTATAATATAGATATGCTTTAATATTGATGGCCGTGTCAGAGGTTAACCACGAAAATACGTTAATATGCATACCTACTAGACGCCTTGGACTAAATTGAAGGAGATCAAAAAACGTCATTTCAATATTTATATAAAAATCGTAAATGAAGTAAATGAACCGTCAAGTAAAAAAAAATGATCTTTTTTTATTATAATCTTAAAATGTTTCAGTATAACCTTATAATTTATATTTTTCGCCGTTTCTTACCTTTTCAAATGGTAATTTAAGCCAATTTGCTTTCCACTAAAATAGTGGGTACAATGCAATGTACCTATAATTAAATCGTTACATATAATAATTTATATAGTGTAATAGAAATAACTTTTGAAAATTAAGTCTTTTTTGTTGGTTATTGTTCGTGGTGGAGATTATACCGTTATTGATTTTTGAACGTGACGCAGATTACAATGTATACCTACCAAATTTATTTTTGGCACTATTTTTTATGCAAATTGTGTACCTACACCCCTTTTAGCCTTTATGTGACACGAATTGATCGAATTAATAAAAACCCATATTGTATTAGGWTGTAGCTGGAACACACAAATGGAACACACAACTTRCATTACCCAATTGACATAATATAAATGTACTATTATTATTTTAATAACTTTTAATTAAAAGTTTTTAGTATACAATTCTAAATCAATAACATTATCATCGTATATAAATTACATTCCTTATTAAAAAAACACATTTGAAATAATTTTTTTAATATGTTTTGTGTTATTAAATATAATATGAAACATTTAAGTTGCTTAACCAATACTAGCTTACTTTATTATTAAAACAAAATACTAGACTATTAAAATGATAACGATATATCTCCTTCTAAAATAATAAGTACAGCAGAAATCAATAGGTATTATTTTCTATTACTCGTGGTAAAGCGTGTCTGAATTACACTTTGACACATTATACGTGTATCTACCTATTATTTCTAGGCAGTCAGTCAATTTTTTTTAGGGGACCAAAAAATTTTTCATAATTTATTTCATAACATTACAAACTATATATACAAACTTTTTAAATATTTATGTTACATTATATTAACATTAACATACTTCCCAAGAAAGACTGAATTGTATATACAAGTCCTAGTATGGTGATACTCTTATATTTACTATTTGTACTCTGTAATCTTTATTGTCTTTTTTGTTTAATTTTAACATAATTATGTACAAACGAAATCATCATAATTATTATGACTATTGGCTTGAAACAAAAAGCAGGGAAAACTGTGTAAAAAAAAAGTCTCTGGGGTGCAGAACTTGCTTGCCTCTACTCTGTGAACGCTTGGTGAACATATCAGGAAAATTGCTTCGTACATTGCCGTCTAACGAAACAGGAATCGAATCTTTTTATTTTTTTTATTTTACAATAATATAATGTAATGATTGATAGCTCAGAAGGAGGATCAGTAAAAATTGTTTCTCTGTCTTCCRCATGGATTACACCTTTAGGTTAAGATATCCTCTTCATAAACATATACTATAAACCAATAGATATTTATGGTATATGCTATAAACCTCGTATGAACATTATATTAGACACTATATTTGGTTTACTATAGTCTGTAATGAAATAAACTTCAATAAGTTCTACTAATAATAAATTAACTATAAAAACMAAAAATTKTATGTGTTATTACAGATCAATTCTATCGGCAAGCCAACCAATCCAATTGTGGTTGCCGCGTTTCAGAGGGATGCTTTGCTGCCTCCGCATATGCAAAATTCATTTTACAAGAATCCTAAGATTGCAGAAAATTTAGCCCAGAACAGTTGGTTCGGTCCTGGAGAGCAACACGCTGTCAACAGGGAAACGGAAAAGATCCCGAGAGAGAAAATCTTTATCATTCTAAAAAACGCGGGACTATTACCCACGCCTTGATTTGGCATCATTAATTAACATGATTAATATTATCATTATTATTTAATACTATTAAAATATAGTATACKTTAAATAACTGTACATTTTATCTCATCTTTGTAAATAGAAAATAATTATTGTAATATCATATTAGAATAAATCATTATATTTTATCTTTATTTTGTAAGTCAAAGTTGTTTTTTTTAGATTGGTAGATAACCAATCGAAATAACAAGTAAATAGTATATTTTCCCCAAACAAAAAACTTATACTAGGGAATCAATTTTTTCTTATTACAATATATGAGTATTTTGTTAGGTAATTATTAAGTTATGACCTATTTTAATATAATATAATCAGTGGCGTAGTTACGGAGGGGGGGGGGGTGTAAGGTGTTTCCACCCCAAAAAAAATTTTTGTATTGGTATTTTATCTTCTGTGATACTGATTATTTTTAAAGTAATCTTTTTTTTGCATTTTTCGATTATGGAATTAATACCAATTTGAAACAAAATAAAAATGACGTTTAGTTTAACTAATAACTTGTAATTTGTGTTATAAATATATTTAACCCATATCGAGTATATAATTATTTTGAAAACTTAAAATTCATCAAACTGCAATTATTTATAAATATTGCTCATAATATTTGATACTTATTTGTATTTTTTAAATATTTTCAACGCTATACAATGTTTTAATATTGTCATAAACAATTTTAGAGATCACCACACGTGGTATAGGCATATTACATTTTTTGGGATTCAGTACAAAGTGATAAATGTACTGATAATACGATGTAAAGTGTTTTTGATTCAAAAATGAGTGACCATTAATACTTGAATTTTGAATAAATATTGATAGAATTATCAAGACATTAATTTTTTTTTTTTTGAGTCTTTTATGAAAATTTAAACTTCTACTCTTCAATTTAATTTTTTTTTATTGATTTAAATTTTGTTTCTTCACTCTAAAACCTTAAAATATGCACAAAATTACTCATAAATTGTATTAATTGTAATTTAAAAACATCACAGGCATAATAAATGCATATTTTTTTTTTGGAAATTAGGTTCAAA